TTGGCTGTAATCCTGATGGGAGCAGATAAAAGAAACAAAACCAAAACCTCTCTTGTCTGCAAGTGAGGCAACAGAGCAGAGTAGAACTGGCCCATAGGGTTTCCAAGGACGTAAATCTGTACAGAAGCAGACTGTCACATCTTTCTTCTGTGGAGCAGTTAGTTGGTGGGTTCAAATTGATGACCTTTCAGTTGGCAGCTAAGGGCTTAACCAATATGCCACCAGAACAGGTTTTTACAAGAGCAGGTACCCAGTTCTCTCTCTAGAAGAGTGGCTAGGCATGTTCGAACTGCCAAGTGCTTAACCACTGTGCCACCAGAGATCCTTTATAGGGCAGTTATTGATAAGCAGTGGACTGCTAACCTCAAGCAAGGTTGGTAGTTCAAGCCCACCAGCTGCGCTGAGGGAGAAAGATAAGGCTATCTGCTCCTGTAAAGATTTAGTCTCGGAAACCCTATATAGGATCTCTATGAATTGGAATTAACTTGTTGGCAGTGGGTCTGGTATTATAAACCCCATTTGTAAAGTGGCAGAATTAGGGTGCAGAGAGGTGAATTGTGTTGCCTGGATGTCTAACTCTCAACCTCAGGCCTTCTGCAGTCTCCCTGAGGGCTGCCTGTACTCTATCCCCTGGCTAAATGGCATGGGCTGGAAGTCAGCTACCCACGAAGGGCAGGTGATCTGGATGACAGACAGATTGTCATGATAACCAGAATGGAATTGAGCCAAGTAGCGATATGAGAATCCCCACCATCACCACCACATTCCCAGGTCCTACCCACGGGATCCAATCTGAGAGTTTATTCAGGTCCCTGCAGGAGCCTGACAGGCATGACACCGTGTGGGGACAGAGCAGTGCTGCTGCCGAAACAGGGACAGTCTCCTAGGGGAATTTGTGTAGCTCTAACTCCCTGGAGGCCTCTGAGAGGTGGCGCCAGATTGGTCAGAAAACTCCAGAGATAGTCCCAAGCCTCCTCTTGGAAGTCTGTTTGCATTTTCTGCCTTGTTTGTCCCTTCAATTCCTCTCAATACAGTTGAAAGTGTTTGATGACCCCAAACACTTGTTTATTCTGGTTCCACCATATCCATTATACTTGGTAGATGTTAATGACTGTCCCCCTCAGCCTGGGGAAATAGACACTGTCAAGTCCCTTTTTTGCTTGTCTGATGATATCCACATTGGGTTTGTCTTCTTCCATTGTGCTGCCAGTTTTGCTCAAGTTCCCTCCTCCATTCCCCTGGTCCCCTCCCCCACCCCCAATCTCAGGCAGCTCCTGAAGACTGAGCAAGAGAACTGTCTGACTTTCTCTCAAGTCGCTCCCTGGTTCTTCCTACACAAGTACATGCACAAAATGGGACTACCACTGCCGACTAAGGAGAAGGGAGGGCTGCAACCTAGCTGGGAGCTCATGTGCTCTCACTAGGCCCAAATGCCAAATGAGCTGGCCTTGATGGGGACCACACCGGAGACCTCACTGGTGACCCAGCAGCTGAGCTAACTAACTAGGGCGTATCCCATGGGCCCTGGCCATAGGTTGAGCCATTTGAAGACCAATATTAAATTGAAAGAACAGCAATTTTGAGTATTAAACTCTATAACCTTGAGAGACATCAGAACATGGGCTGAAAGTTCCTTCTCTTGCCCTCTCCATCTGAATAAGGTTCTTTAGAGCCACCCAAAAGCCAAGAGGGCAGCTGAGACCTCATTACTTCACCACTGTATTTTCTACTATAAAAATCCCTAGCGATGGCTGGACAGTTAGTTAAGCAAGAGACCTCTTCTACTTTTTCCAGTCTAATTCCCATGACAATTGGCTGGGTGGCTGAGGCTTTGGGGCTGGAGTCAAATTCAGAATTGAAAGGCCAGCACTCATTCCTCCTACCTGATGACGCAGCTTCATATCTGACAGCTTGTCTGAAGATTTTTGGGACTTCTGACACAGTTGTTCCAGTGTCAGGCAGACCCTGCAATCCTGGGTACATATTTTATATCCACAATTCCCCATCCTTTCCCCCATCACAATGCATGCAACACACAGCATTCACATGCATGACCCACTACTTCCATGGCATGCCCAATCCAGGCACAATAGCTATGAGGCCATCTCTTTTTCCCTATCAGAAAAGCATGGCAGGTTGCAAAGGAGTTGAGTGCTAAACGATGTTATTATAGGGATAACTCTGAATCCATTTCAATGAATTTTTAAAAAGGGAAACACTGGCAAACTTTGGACTGTTATGAATAACAAAGGATCCATAGGTCCTTGGAATCCCATCAAGACACATTTGTTGTTGTTGTTGTTAAGTGCTGTCGAGTCGGTTCCGACCCATAGCGACCCTGTGTAGGGTTTCCAAGGAGCCACTGGTGAGCTTGAACCACTGACCTTGTAGTTCAAACGGCTTTGCAGTCTGGCGCATTAACCCACAGCACCACACCAGGACTCTATCAAGACACATAGGGGTACCAAAATAGCATGGTTGAGGACTGCTACTTTATAGTAAGACAAGTTTCCAATCTTGAGGTTGACCCTAGACTCAAGCAGGAGGCCAGGACTGAGTTAAGAGCAGAGCCCAGGATTCTTGTCACTCCTAATCTATAATGTCATGAGATGTACTTTTGATTCACAACTTGAGATGACTGAGAACTCACTGCTTGTTAGTTGCTGTCAAGTCAGACCCCATCTTATGGCAACACCACATACAACAGAATGCACTAGTGTCCAGTCCTGCACAATCTTCATAATCATTTGCAGATTGGACCACTGTGATCCACTGGGTTTTTATTGGATGCTTTTAGGAAGCAGAGCACCAGGCCTGCCTCTCCTGCTAGTTTATTGTAGTCTGGAAGCTTTGCTGGAACCCGTTTAGTATTCTAGCAACATGTAAGCCTCCACTAACAGACAGGAGGTGATTGGGGATGAGGTACATTGGCCAGTAATCAAACTCAAGTCTCCTGCACAGAAAACGAGGATTCTATCACTGAGCAACCAAGGCCTTGACAACTCACTTGGTCCCTGTTTATTCTTATCAAAGCAAGCCACAAAGCTGAGAACCGCTTGGTGATTTAGGGAATTAGAGTTTGGAAAGTTTCTATGGAGGTTGATGTTCTGAGGTGACACCCAGACAACACCTCTCTAGGCCCCCATTTATCTGTCACCTGGGTTTTCTTCTCACAACAAAGCCCATTAGCCATCAAAATGCCCTGACTGCTTCAGGGAATAAACAGTCTTTTTTTTTTTTTTTTTTGCCCCTGAATGCTTGTTACTCATCAAAGAAACAATTCCACCTACTACCATCCGCCTAGCCAAATTTGTCAAAGATGATGGCAGGCTTGTAATAATCAACATATCTTGGCCTTGGAAACCCTGTGGGGGCAGTTCTACTCTGCCCTACAGTGTCACTGTGAGTGGGAATTGATTTAACAACAACAGGCTTGGGTTTGGCTCTTGGGTGTACAGATGGGCAGGAAGATATGTGAGACAATGACCTGCCACCCTGCTATGCTAAATCTGTTGACCAATTCATAAGAGGTGGCAGCTGATTCTCTAATGCCAATTTAGAGGGTGGTGGCAGCAGGAAAGTTTTCTAAAAATGGCTTTTATTACTCGGCTTTCCTGAGTTTGGCTATACCCAGGCATTATGTCATTAGGAAAAACTGATGCCTTCCAATAGAGAAAAAGAAATCTGTTTCCAAAGCAGAGGCTTTCAGAAAGCTATTAACTGTCTCCCTGAAATCACAACATTGACGATTTCACAGCAACAGCATCAACGCGTTGTAAAGACTCATGAGGAGATGTTTAACTCTGCCGTCTTCATTACTCATCCTTCTACTAGTGGGGAGGAGGGAAGGAGAGGAAAGATGGCAAGTTTTGTTTTTTTTTAATTTTATCCATTCACACTTTATAAAAACTAATGCATATATAGGGTTGCTGTGAGTAGGAACCGACTCGATGGCACTTAACAACAAAAACCCTGAAATTTAGTAATAGCATTTCTCTTACTATTGCTAACTGCCGACCAGTCGGTTCTGACTCATAGCAACCCTGTATAGGCTTTCCAAGGAGAGGCTGGTAAGTTTGAACCGCCAACCCCATGGTTCAAATTGACCTTGCAGTCCAGTGCTTTATTCTACAAGGTCACAGCAGGATTCCAGCATCTCTGTAGTCACCAGTAAAATTGGAGGCTCTAGATCATTTTTCCTCCCAGGGGCAGAAAGCATGATCATCTGAGTATAGATGATCCCTGAGTTCCCAAAACCAATCAACTTTTTCAGCCTTTCCTTCATCAACTGCCTCAATGGTCCCACCATCATTTGGTTAGAGTCAGAGATCCTTTGCCTTCCAAGACCAAAGTAGCATCAAAGTGGTGGGTGGAATGAAAGGTCTGAATTTCCTGCTCCAGACTCTTCCTGGAGTCAACCATTTGCTTCCCCTTTGTTTCCTGCTTATTAGTCTCTGTATCTCTGGGCTTTGAAGCAGACATCGCTAAGAGAGAGGAGTGCTTTGGGTTCTGGATCTTCTCTCACAAATATCTGGGATGGATGGGGAAGACGTTTTACTGATAGCTTGTAAATAATGATAATTGTTATTGTTATTTGTTGTTGTTAAGTGTCGTGGAGTTGGTTCCAACTCATAGCAACCCTGTATGGGGTTCCCAAGGAGCTGCTGGTGGGTTTGATCTGCTGACCTTGTGGTTAGCAGTCCAGTGCTGATTCTATTGCACTACATACACCAGGACTCCAATAATGAGAATGGTAATGGTGGTGGTGTGCTGTAGAGTCAGTTCCGACTCATAGTGACCCTGGATAGGATTTCCGAGGCTGTAAATCTTTACAGAAGCAGAAAGCCTCATCTTTCTCCCACAGAACGGCTGGGAGTTTCAAACTGCTGATCTTGAGGTTAGCAGCCCAACTGGTAACCACTACGCTACCAGAGCTCCTTAATAATGATAATAAGGAAGATCAAATGATCAGAAAGTTGAAGCCTTGGACTTCCACTCACGTTCATGGTTCCATTGATCTCTGCTACTGACTCATCATCTGTAGGGAACTGGTAGATCTGGACCCCATTGCTGACAAGCTCGCTGGTGATTTTGATTTTGAACTTCGTTAGCTCACTCTTAGAAATGGCATCAGATTTGGCAATGATGGGAATGATGTTCACCTAGAGAAAGAAAGAGCAAAGTGGGATCAGTGTTGGTGGCTTTTACCTGAAAGGAACATGGTCTAGGACTTCCGTCAGTTGCCAGTGGGACTAGCTCACCCCAATGAGCTAGGATGGGGCCACCTCCATAGCCAAATAGCAATACAATAAAAACATTGAATGCTTATTATGCACTGGGCACTAAACTATGTGCTTTACACAGATTAATGCAATAGCCCTCCCCCAATCCACTGCCATTGAGTTGATTCCAACTCATGTACACCCTGTATAGGGTTTCTGAGACTGTAAATCTTTATAGGAGCAGACAGCCTTATCTTTATTCTGCAAGTGACTGAGGGGGTTGAGCCACCAACCTGGCTAACTCACAGCGTCATCAGGACTCCTTATAACCCTCCCAGAGGTATAATTTACCACCATTTTGCCAATGAGAAGCGGTAGAAAGATGTGGCCATCTACTTTTGTAAAGATTTACAACCTTGGAAACCTTACAGGGCAGTTTTACCCTGTCATATAGAGTCCCTATGAGTTGTAACTGACTAGATGGAAGTGGGTTTCTTTGGGTTTGGTTGTCAATGAAAAACTGACTAACCAACCCAGTTAGGTGAGCTAGGCTCTCAGTTAACAATTTGACCTGTTGTTGTCGTTGTTAAGTGCTGTCTAGTGGGTTCCAACTCATAGCAACCCCATATTGGGTTTCCAAGGAGAGGGGTGGGTTTGAACTGCTAGTGATTTTGAACCACTGACCTTGTGGCTGGCAGTCAAGTCCTTATCCTACAATACCACATTAGGATCCCAATCTGATCTGAGACGTGTACAAAAGAACAGTTATAATGCCTAAGACGCATGCCTACTTTCTGGGTTAAGAACACAGAATCCTGTAAAAGCTGGAACTTATGGAAGGCAAAAACCTATCATTGAAAGGAAATTGAAATTTTTTCCGTTGATAGAGAGTAATAGACAAGTAGTAAGACAGCCCTTGTCAAAGGCAGAAAACTTGGAAAACTTGGAAAAAGAAGGCCATCTCATTAAGTTCCGGGCTTTCCCAGGTTTCACTATATATAGATGGCCAGTTTCAGAGAGAAAGAGAAAGGCCTTGTGCCATCCCCAAGGCCCACCCAACTGAACCCTGATCATTGCCATTTCTCCAAGAAAGCACAAGGCTTCCACTGCCTGAAGGTAAAGCAACTTGAGCTGCACGCGCCTTGGTGAGAGATTGAACATACCCAAGAGTGGCCGTTCCTGTCAGTAGACTCCATGAGGGAGGCATGAACGGGGCTCAGGCTCTGGAAGGGGAGTCTGGGATTCCAGACTTGGAGGACAAACTGCCTCCTTCACATCTCAGCTTAGGCTTTGCTACAGAGTGAATTGTATCTCCTCAAAATATGTATTGGAATCCCAACCCCCTATACCAGTCCATGTAATCCTGTTTGGGAATGGGGTTTTCTTTATTATGTTAATGAGGCCATGTTAGTGTCATATGTGTCCCAAACCTGATCACTTCTGAGTGATAGCACAGAACAGGGAAGATAGCTATCACGTGAAGCTCACCAAGGAGCCACGGAATGCTGGGATTACAGAAACTGAGATGACGGCCTTCCCTAAGAGCTGACACAGAGAGAGAGCGCCTCCCTTATAGCTGGTGCTGCCAGCCCCCCTAAACAGGGCAAAAATACATTTCTGTTCTTTGAAGCCACCACGGGCTCCCGAGGCTGATATTACACAGGGCTTCCAGTGCTAGGTCAAGGAAACATCAGACTTTGGAGGTACCTCCCTTGAAGTCTTTAAGGAGGGGAATGCCCTTGCCAAGGTGGTACAGTTGGTAGAGTCAATTCTCCCTGTGGCTTTTCACCAGCTTGTGCACCAGGCCACCAGTCACATGACTCACTGACGCCCTCTACATGTTTGCAGGGCAGGGCAACAAAGTGGTTGTTGTTAAGTACCGTGGAGTCGGTTCCGACTCATAGTGACCCTGCACAGGGTTTCCAAAGCTGTAAATCCTTACAGGAGCAGAACGCCTCATCTTTCTCCCGCAGAACTGCTGGTAGTTTTGAACTGCTGACCTTGAGGTTAGCAGCCCGATTCGTAACCACTATGCTACCAGATAGGCCTTTCTTCCACGGCACCGCTAAGTGGGTACAAACTTCCAACCTTTAGGTTAGTACAAATCCCCAAATAAACCCATTGCTGTTGAGTCTATTCTGGTTCACAGCAACCTTATAGAACAGGGTTTCCAATACTGCAATCTTTTTTTTTTTTTTTAATAAAATATTTTATTGTGAATTATGTGATAGTTTACATGGGAGA